GCCCACCCAGAATCGACTGCAGAAAATACTTAAAAGGGTGCTGCTGACATAACCAGACCTGGAAGAAAAATAATAAAAAAGACGGGTGATAAATCAAGAGCACGGCTTTCTCTCATCTTACATCTAAAATTGAAGTGAAGTGCCATGGTTCAGGTCTGAAGTGATAAAACAGAGCCTAAGAGGAGACCTGAAATAAGGACTATCAGCAAACAAAATACACCAAAGTCAAGGCTTGAGCAAGAAATATTGGCTAAACATCAGAACTGTTGGGAAAAGGGCAAATGTGAGTGTCAAGCTGAATAGAACTGACTGTTTAGAAAAATTATGACCTGTACATGTACCTCACATTGCCCCATAACACTTTATTTTTAAACTGAAGGACTTGAAATTGAAAAACAGAACGAAAATAATGATGTGGCATCTGGCATGACATGTTTTTGTCCAATCAAATGGTCTATAAAATATTTCTACACTGAAATATTGACTGCCCTTATGAAAGTAATGATTAACATGAGCACAGGGGAAATTACAAATATATTTACTCTAAGAAAAATACATCACAGGGCATTTTTTTATTCCCATAAGACGTTATGACTCAGTCAATGTTGGCCTTTGAGCAAACATTTCTTCATTAAAGCTGAAGAGTGTATATTTTTATACAACGAAATCTCCCATCACATCTTAAGTGTGCAATGACAAACACTGTAGTTCTGTAATGCTATTAAAACACACTGTAAAAAGTGATCAGTTGACTTAACTTAAAAAAAGTGAGGAAACCCATTGCCTTAAAATTCTTAAGTAAATAAACGTCATATCACACAAAAATATGTCGAATTGTCAAGTTCACACAACTTAATTATTTCAATTACGCATGAAGTTTATTACTTGAAAAAGTGCAGAAACTCTTTATCTTAACATTTTTAAGTTAAGTCAACCGTTCATTTGAACATTACACCATGCAACCTGACATATTATCACTGCACACTGTTTGAGACAGGAGGACTATCAGTCCAAACAATGGAAAAAAAGGGACAGTGTTCAGGAAACCGTTCTTTTTGGAGAACGGAAATTCTGTTTGGAGACCCTTGTGCAGAAATTCCAACTTGAACAAAAATGCCTGTTTTTTTAACTGATCCGATTATGCAGAGTTGCAAACCACAACTGATTTATAAATCAAACTGATCAGACAATGTGAAAGAGTCTGGCCGTACAATATATAACTCCCTGGCCGTCATTTAAAAATCACGCTTTTCCCCTTTATAGTTGAATCACGAAAGCTACACCAGTTACTTTGCCAAGAGATCTCTTATTTATTATTTTTTATCAATGTATCAAACAGAGAGACACAGGCATAGAATAAGGCTATGGTGAGGTGGTCTTAATTCCAGATTTCTCGGTTCTCCATTTCTCTATCCTCTCACCCCATCATGTCAGCTGTAAATGGTTTCTCTGACTTTCTCCTCCCTCACCCCCTTATCTCTATTTCTCCTTCCTCTCACCTCATCATGCCTTCATGTTTCTCTGAGGTGGTACATTAAGGATTGAGCTTATATACACCAAGTGACTTCCTTGTAAGGTAGCAAAACATGCTGCTTATGTTTAAAGTGCAATGTATACCTCATGCTTATACACATGGTATCCACTTTTCCTCTGTGTATACATTAGTGATAAATTTTCATCAGTTGAAACATTCATTTCCTTGTAAAGAACATGCCAATTGTACACATTTAATGTATCATCATCATTGCTCAGAGAACGTTACATTGCACACATACGTCTAAGCAAAATATATAACTCTCCCAGCTCCCCTCCTCACAATCCTTAAACACGTGTCCATGCAATCTATAGTCCAACTCGTGCATTTTAAACTTCATAAGATAATACAACTGATTATGAATACTAATAAAGAATATACATAATATTAAATAATTAAAATATATTAAAAGATGAAATTTTAGTCTTGAAGTCTGCTTGTAAAATTCTGGTCTAAGTTTATAGCCTGATTTCAAGTGATTTCCGCTCTATCTATCAAGCTGTTCCAAGCAGGAAGTTTGACATTCCAAGTTGAATGAAATGCAGCATGTGAGATAGCTAGATATTTAAGTTATGTATTTCCGTACCATTCCAACTTTGTCTTTAAATAACACATAGGCCTAAATGAAAGAGAAAACGGCAACAACAAAAAGATCAGGAAATAGGCTAGATCACCTGAGGGTCAGATGACTGGGAACTAAGGCAAAGATTTCATCCATCTGCATCTGAAAATAACCCTTCTCTCTTCTCATTTTTAGTAGTGTGTGCTAAAGCAAGCCTCAATGTTATTAACGCTCATTGATTTGAACTTGACCCTAAGTATTAAACACAAGCAATTAACTCGTCTTGAACAGTTTGTACAGATATGAATGGTACCTCAAACCGTGCAGCTTGATGAGGAGAGGTCATCAGAAGTCTAAGGAATAGCCTATCACATATGAACTCAGGCCATAAAACCACTTGACAACAATCCAGAACAAAAAATGTAGCCTTTAGGTTCTTATTCAAAAGTTTGATTGCAGTAATCACCATAAAAACAGCAAGTAAATAGCCTATGTCTACAAGTGTCTTTAAATAATTGTATGGGCACAAACAGCCCTTTTATGGTGTGAATCAAACAGATGCATCCTCTGTGTGGGATGGGGAGGGGAAAAAAAAACAGCTGTTAGCAATTCATCCCCGCAGGAAATAAATGAATCATATGGACAGATGACCTTTGACCCATCTAACGTACAAACACATATCCACTCAGGCATAACTTGACGATTGGTTCTTTCTAGAATTGACGTCTATAGTCGCCGTCCTCACTAACAGAAACAGACCCAAAAGGGATCTGCATCAACAAACCCCCACACACTCACAAAAAATCTCTGTTTATTATTATATTGGACCATATTTACATTTATTCCACAGATTTCCCCCCCAAAATCAGTACAGAATATACACACAAAAAAAAAAACGTCTGCAGATTCCATCTGGGCCTGCTCATTGGGTCTAAATATGGAGGAAATATTTTCAATTGGGTCAGCGACAAATAAGGAGAAAATATATATTAAATTAATTGTGACCAATGGGAGCCTTTTGTCAACATTTGCAATTAGATATAAAGCACGACAACCATCTATTAACTTTGCAGAGAGCTCATATGCATGGTTTCCCAGGCCAATCCTAAAACCCTAGTATATAGGAAAGAGATCCCAGTTTCCTGTTCTGCTGAAAATCCACATTAGGATTCAAAGAGCAGCGTCAGCGGGAACAGAGCATTTAGATTGACAAACTAGGGGAAAATGGGTTATGAAGGAGGATCCCTCGGGCTATCTGAAAACGCCCCGGTGTTGATTCCGAGACCCAGCGTGAGCGCCTGATTTCACACCGTAGCATCTGGTCTCGTTCTGCCTCTATTTACACCATCTGCCTTTAGTGCCTTAATAGAAACAGACAGCTACAGAAATGAGCACTCGGCCCCTCCATGCTCTGTCACATTCCTCTCACTCCATCTCTAATCAACTGGATGTTGATGCAGGTCAGTGGAAGAACCACATCACGATAACAAAGACAGGTTCAGGACAGATTCAAGCAACGTATAGTCTGGGTGAGAAATTGGTGATTTAGTGACTTGATTGGAGGAATCTGGTTCAAAATAAGATCCAGTTATGCAGCCTGTGAAATGAGGTTTTGGTTATGACAGTGATTGTCAGGCAGATATAGTTTACTTAGTATGTCCCAATTTGAATCAAAACAGCAGATAAACATTTATTACTGTGGTTTTAACCATGTTGCACCAGAAAGAATGCATTTTTCAGAAAGAGCCAGTTATCGAGGGCAGAAATATGACTTCTGTTAAGAGTCGAGGAACAGACAAATCAGAGAACTAATGCATGGGAAAATGCATTGTATTTCATTCATATTGCATAACGGCTCTCTAATGCAGTCATCTGAAAAATGTTGCAATCTTATTCATAATCTTTCTCATAAAAGTATGAACCTATTTAAATAAATGGACTTGAAGTCTCTCTAAGGCCAAACAGTGAAAATGCAGAGCATGAAATCAGTCTGAACTGTTAACTAAAACATAGGGCCTACATAAAATTAACATGTTTAACTTGATGTAAGATGAAAAGGACACAAACATGCAACGAAATTACTACAACTGGTCCCACTTTATATTAAGTGGCTTTACGAACTATGTACTTACATTGAACAATAAGTACAATGTATTATTGTGACGCTAAAGGGCGCCTAAAACTTCAAATATTGAAGCATGGTCAAAGGTGACGCCTTGGGGTGAGAATGTGTTGTATTATAAAACACTTTTGCTGCTATTGAGGTGTAATACGGGTAAGGTTAGGGACAGATTGTGGTGGTATGGGTTGGTTTCAGGGTATGTTAAGGTGTGAGGGGAGGGTCAACTGTGTAATTACAAATGTAATTACATAAAGTAATTATATAGCTGTAATTAAATGCTGGTATTTTTAAAATATAAGTACAATGTAAAAACATGTATACGTATACAATAAGTCCATTGTATCAAATTATTAATTTCAATGTAATTATAGTACTTAAAGCCACTTAATATAAAGTGGGACCCTACAACTTTAAAATTAAAGCTGAAAATATAAAAACGAATCCAAAATAGTCGAAAAGTAAACTATTAATAGCATCTCATTGATACTGATATATATATATATATAATTGAAGCTCCTCTGTTGAACCACAAAATGTTGTCCAATAGCATTTGTGTCTGGCCTCAAATTTGACTCCAATTAAAACACATTGTGGAAAAAAAAATCTTAGTAAACAAAACAAATGTAAAGAGTGTACATGGCTTCCGAAACATGTTATCAAGTTGCAATATTTTTGAAGTATGACATGGAGTCCCAAAGATAAACTAAGTGTGACAGTGCGGTGCACAAAGTTTATCTTGCATGAACCATGAACCTCTGACTGTACGGTATAGACGGTCTGACCTGCTGGTAGTTCTCCTCTTGCGGTTTAAATGTGTGATCCAGCGGCTGAAACCTCAGGTTCACATGAGGAAACTGATGAAGCCAGTAAGTCCACCAAGGAGCGATATAATCAACCCGTGCAGACGACATCCTTCAGCAGTCGAGGAGACGAATAAATCACTTTCCCGGATAGAGACGGTAGACAAATAGGGTGTTTACTCTCCGGTGTCTTGTCTTCTCAAACAAAAGCCATGGATGTGGACTTGATTAAGTAGAGAGACTGAGTACTGAAACAAAAGTACCGAAAGGGACACACAAGAAGATCTCCGAATACTTCCCCCAAATCGCAGACCATGAGAATTCACGAGAAACGAGGAATTATTTCATTAAATCCTGGTCTCGTGCCGCAGCCATTCCTGCGCGTGTCGTGCGCTCATTCTCTGCTCATAACTCGGGAGCGAGCTTGCCTTGAATGAGCGCACGAATGGGACTCGGGGTCGCGCCTGAATAAGAAAAGAGGCAGTTTCTTTCTTTCGGAACTTTTTTTTTTTAATGGTGGTTTAATTGTGTTGAAAATTTGATTTAATAGAGAATGTGGATATTATTTATTTTAGAGTTTAGCTTTAAATTACTTGTTTGAATAAAATGTACTTAAAAAGATTCTGAATGTAATAATTTATATATATCCTAGGCAATGCTGCCATCTAATGGGGAAATCAAGTAAATGCAGACACCGGTACCTAAATCAATTTGTTTTCAGTTTCATTTTCTTCTCATCGTTTCGTTCCAAAGGGGAAATATAGAAATTATGGTTAGCATACTACTCCATTTACTTGTATAGTGAGATCATTTTATTATTGTACGCCTTTTAAATTGTATTTTATAATTGTTCGCCAAAATAAATCATGGGGAAAATCTTACGAGTAAAACGGTGTTTTTCCATATGATAAGTTTTCTTACTGCCTCTTTTAATTCATTAAATAACTGTATCATGTCTCTTCATTTGTTTTAATTTCCCTTGCTTTCATTTTGTGATTATTTTAATTTCTTTGTGTGAAGCACTTTGAATAGCAAGTGTATGAAATGTGGTATATAAATAAACTAGCCTTATGCTAATTCTTTAAAAACAATGGTCTCTTTTGATTATGTTTGCAAGTAATCTTTAACACATCAATCCTGTTATTAGGGTCTTTAAAAATAAACAGAAAATTTGTTGAAATATCAGCAGTAAATTCTCTAAACAACTTGTAGTTTCAAGAACTCGAAGAAAAGGCCCAGTAATTGCTTGTAAATTCTATTTGCTAATGAGTTTGAGCTCAAAGAAAAATTTCATGTTTTTCAAAAAGACAGTAAAAACTAATGTTGAGAGAAATTCTATTTTAAATATTGTAATATCTATTTTAATATAACAATTGTTCCTGGCAAAGCTGAATTTTCAGCATTTGATATGGTGCTGTAACATTTGTATTCAAAGTTAAAAACAATAAATATCAGCATTTATTTGGATATTTTTGTAAAAATGCAAGACAAGTATTCCCTGACCAAACTGTGAACAGCAGAGAAACACAAACCACTTAATTCTTTCCCAATTTTATTACAACATTTTGTACAAGAGACATCTATTTCAGCTCCTTCACAGCCAGACCTGAAACCAGAAAAGAGAGGGGTCACATTTACAGTAATGCTTGTGAAGGGACCAAGTCAAGGTGTGTGTCGGCAATAAGTGTTAGTGAACCGGTGGAACTGAAATCTCAGAGTAATGCGAAACTCAGCACTAGGTCCATCATTATTCTAGCAAGCGTGTAAATGCACAGTGGGCACAGAAGAAGCCCAAAGTGTTTGGACAACTTGCACACTTCTCACAAACACCTGATGTTTCCAGTCAGTTGGCATTTGAAGATTAAAATCAAGTAAGGGATCTCACAAAAATTCAAAATAAACCAATTAAGATCTAAACTATAATGCATGAAAATGTTAACATTCCCTGTTGTTAATAGGCGAGTAGTGACCATCACTGACTCAACCCTGGTTTCAATTATAAACATTTAAAGATTCATTGTTCTTTTTTATCCAACACATATGGCATTT